GTAACCTCTCTGCCAGACTTAGGGGTATAATTAATTTAGTAGGTGGTATTAAACAGTATTACTTACCATGTTAGTGTAAATATTTTCTGTTCTTAAATCTTGAAGCTCATTTAAGCACAACAACACTTTATAAGGTTTATTTATATTTTACAGTTTTTAAGACGGATACAGCAGCTTATTTCACACGTAATTACTTCACAATTAATTGAAAGTGTAATCAATAAGAAAGGTTAATGGTCGTCTGAGAGAACTGTGCGTTTGAGGGACGACACACCACAGAGACCATCGACTTGATTTACCAAGCAGATGGGTGAGTTTACTCTGTCCCTCGTTAAAATGTCCGGCTGTTATATATGGTGCTTGAACGTCTAGATGCCAGCAACGAAGATCAGGCTTGGTCCAGAGGAGAAGTAGAGAGTCCATATGAAACGATGCAAGAGATAAAGAGTGGGGTTACTAAGCAGCAAATGGGCTGTTGATGAAGCCATATGGTCCGCTTTCAGAGGGTATCAATGGTTACAGACATATTCAATGCTAATTCTCAGGATGGAAGTGTTTTGGTTCCTACCTCTGGCCACATACTCGAGTATTTACTTACAGCTTAGCACAGTCTTACGTCACGTGGAAAATAACAATTTTTTTTTGCTACGTATTTGGAAATCTCCGGCGGCTTGCAACTGTAGCCGAGACTTATCGTGGTTTCTCTGAAAATCCACCGAGATAAACTGTGAAATAATACATTAAAACCGGCCACGGCTGTATATTTACTATTCATCTTCCCATTTGAAGCTATTTAACTTGTGCAGTTGTGATATCATCGTTAAATTCTTCAAGGAACAAACCAATTACATGAAATAAGATAGTATAATTGGGTCATATTGTGAATCAAATATTAAATTAATTAAAATATATAATATAATTCAGGTCTATACACAAACTTATTAAATTAATTATTCGGTTTTGTCCGTCTAATCACAATTATATTTAAAATTTACAAATAAGATAATTAAAATATCATTTTATGTTCCACATCGAATAATCGATTATATTATATATTGTGAATCAAATATTAAATTAATTATTCGGTTTTGTCCGTCTAATCACAATTATATTTAAAATTTACAAATAAGATAATTAAAATATCATTTTATGTTCCACATCGAATAATCGATTTACATTTAGATTTCGATGTGGAACATAAAATTATATTTTAATTATCATATTTGTAAATTTTAAATTTTAAATATAATTGTGATTAGACGGACAAAACCGAATAATTAATTTAATTATATGAAGTATATCTATATTTAATCATAGATGTCGTTTATATCATTACCCATTCAGGGACAGTTAGATAACGCTGTTTCAACTGCAGGGGTTTTGTATCAACTATGGGCCAGATTATACTACGTGTTGAGTTGAGGGATTACGAGTAGATGTGGATAATCGACGGAGACCAAAAGTTCCATTCGATTATAAATATTGGAAACCGATAGAAAGTGGTTTTCACTCCCTGGGAGGCCCCAGGTTCAAATCTCGGCTCAGAGATTAGCTATTCTGACTGAGGTTTTACGTGGTTATGCAAGAAAATTTAGATACAGTCTCTCATGCTACGGCAACTTCCTTTCTTATCTTCTCAATTCATCATTTGCTAATAATCGTATAATTCGACGCTGTTATTTGAGACACTGGAGAGACCAAGAAGGAGATTGGAGGATAAAATAAAGATGAATCTCAGGGAGGTTGACTGTGAGGATGGTAAATGGATGGAGTTGTCCCAGGATCGTGTCCGGTGGCATGCTTTGGAGTTGTCGGGGTTGGAACTGCGCATTATGCTACAAGGGAGTTAGTTAAATTTTAAATGCAGTTAAAGGATGAGTAAAATTGATTCAATTTAGTATCTCTGGCCTTAAATTTATATCGGAAGTTTACCGATACTACAGCCCAAAGGACGGCCATTTTTAAACTCCTGTCAGACTAAATTCATTCAGTATTATAATTTCTCTGGGCGAATTGTGTGGAAGTTAGTTGTGATATACGACAATTCGTCGGCCTTGGAATATAAATGATTTTTTTTGTCCCAACAACGTCCAGACTGGCTCTGGGGTCTACCCAACCTTTACCTATGAGTACTTGGGCTCTTTCCTTGTGGTAAATCAAACCCCCACTAACCCCATGTGTCTTCATGACGTGATATTTAAGTTTGAAAGAGTTCTATTTAACTGTAATTTGGTTTTAGGGACTGGGAAAATGCTCTGGTTATAGAGCTTTGGGGGACAAAATTTGGATTTACTGATTAAAAAATAGGATTGCTAACCACTTCAGCAAAATTTTCGTTTAAACTTGCGTATAGGCCAAGTTGATTTGTGGATAATCACTCCTATCTCGATAAAGTGTAAACCAATTTGACCCAAACTTAACATGCCTATTCCTTGATACCAGAGACCCGACATAGGAAGATACAAGCTCTTGAAAAGTGTCCTGAAAAACAAATACCAGAAGCCCGACAGACTATAAAATGTTCAATCTCCAGTAAAAATATTTTCTGTTCCTGGGAAACTGAGGACGATTTAAGAACTGGGCCAAATGTGTTCGATTCCGCTAGGAGACTACAGGAACTAAGGTCACAGGCACGATAATTGTCCAGGGTTCGAGTCCTGGTGAAGTTTTTGGGTTTAGAGATGATCTTTTCTTTTGACAATCAAAAATACGTATTATATCATCTCGCGAATTGAAAGCTTTCGGACAAACAACGATTGGTAAAAATGTATCATTAATCTAACACTGCTGGAACTTGTTAATGTCATTAACAATGTTTTCCTGTAAACAGTTCAGACGTTTTAGAGAGACATTAACCTCTCCATAGTCCACTGCTGTATCTAGGACTACTCTGGTACTCTAATAATTGTTCCGTCTAAGAGACAAATATTAAAGTAGTTGGGTAGTTTTGTTAAATAATTTGGTTATGGCATACGTAAAACTCGAAATACCTAAGTGCGGGGAGGAAGTATATTAGGCAATTTGTTTGTTGTTCCTGCGATGATGTATCGAGTAGTTTGTTTCGTTTGTAAGATACTACATCACATCTTGAAATGGATTAATGGAGACCGATGGATTGATAAATATCAACACTTCCATCGAGATGGTGAAGTACAATACGTAAGTAACATGATATAATTTTAATAGTGTAGTGTTATAAGTTACATCCTTTCTTTTCACTCAAAGGACCATACCTTATCGTGTTCACATCAGTCACATCCTGAGCCATATTAATCCAATACATAACTTCATGCACTCTTTCTTTAGCATGCATTTTAATATTATCAATACATCTGAGCTAACTTGAAGCTCCCTTAGGTCCAAACACTCCCAAACGCAACGTGACAAAGATGACATTCCATCTCTTCGACATCTCTTGAAGCCCGCGTGATGAAACAGGATGTTCAAGAGTGTCGCGTTGAGAAGAACAATGTCCTTAGACACGCTAATGACCTCTAAAGAAATCGATGTATAGTTGGGAAAAAAAAATAAACATGTCTGATGTTCACCTCGGTGACATGCAGTCCCACGCCCACAGCGGGTACCCACCACCTGCCAGCAACCTCCTCGTGCTTGCAACATTACTCCCACTCAGTCCTCCTCTCCCTAGCAGACCTCCGTCGCTGACATCCTCCGTCCAATCCTACGTCTAAAAAGAGTTGTTTTCCCCCTTCCTAAGCCTTTTACATTACGTTTACTTTCCTTTTTCCAGTCGATACTTGCATATCGATAAAGTACCGCCGAAAGTGCCCGTTCTTCGTCGGGAGTTTCTTAAAATAATACGTATTATATAGAAATCTTTTTGAGCGATTATTACCGTCAGCGAAACTTCGATTATCTGCAACATCGTGGCAGCATTCCTTCGCTGTACGAGGTGCGATCAGAAAGTTTCAAGACTGTGTTAATAGAGGGCGAACCGGAAGTAGGACGAGCTTCTGCCGCTAGGGGGTGCGACCTACATTCATAGTGAATCAGTGTGCCAGCCAGCATCATCGAATTAGCATTTGTTTCTTAGTTACGGGCGTTTTGGTAGTGCATTACACCGACCCTCCTGCGATTTCGGAATGGCGTGTGCATCAAATTTTGCCAAAGACTCGCCAAAACGGCTACAGAAACCTATGAAATGCTAAAGCAAGCATTTGGGGAGTCCGCAATGGGTCGTGCACAAACGTTTGTGTGGCATTCACGTTTTAAAAAGGGCCGGCCGAACCTCTGTCGATGATGACGAGAGTTCTGGACGACCATCTTCGAGCACAACGCCCGAAAATGTTACGAAGATCGAAGTCGTACCATCAACGACTTGTGCGACATTGTTGGGACCTGTCAGCTGATTCTAAAGGAAGAACTCCACATGCGACGCATCATGACAACGTGCCAGCGCACACCGCCCTCAAAGTTCGGCCTCAAACACCATGGCCGTCATCCCGCACCCTCCTTATTCGCCGTGTGACTTCTTCCTCTTCCCAAAAATGAAAATTCAGCTAAAGGGAAGGAGATTTGAGACGATAGAAGAGATTCAGGCAGAATCGCAGATGGTGCTTGACAGGCTGACAAAGAAAGATTTCCAGGGATGCTTCCAGGCTTGGCAGCGGCGCTGGGATCGTTGTGTTCACTCCTAGGGGAACTACTTCGAGGATGATGGATGAATTTAATACCTGAGATAAGTGTACGGGGTTTTTTTTTTTTTTTATAGGCGCAGTCTGGAAACTTTCCGATCGCACCTCGTATGCATTAAGCGTTGCCACGCAACAGGGATGACATCGAATGCTTTGGAACCGCAGACTGGTAACGCTCAAGAAGATGACTGTCTTCTGGGTCGTTGGACCGACGTTTCGGAGGTCTTTGCTGCCTCCTTCTTCAGGGCGATGATGCAACTTGTTTCAATCTATCTATCTTTTCGATCTCTCGCTCGGCAGTTTTCAAAGAAAATACACGTCTAAAATTCTATATGCATTTCTTACTTCAGCTGTCAACTTTGTGACAAGCTGACAATCGCTGAGACACCCAAGTTTTATGGAAACCAAAATTTTATCACCACGATTACGAAAGTCCATCACTGAACCAACTCTGAGCCACTGAACCTGCTGCGACCATCTGCAGCATCATAGGGCAACAGTACTTAAATAATGTTAAACGCGTGCTATCTTTTATCAAACAGAAAACCAATTCTGAAGTGCCTTAAAGTAAACATCCAATTTCATTCAGCTCGCAGACATCTGTGCAATTATGAAAGATACTCTGACTTCTATATCTCCTGCTGACATGTATATATTTCGTATTGATGGACTATATTTATTCGCCTTACGGTTTATTTCAAATTTAGAGCACGATGTTCAGATGCTAATTAATTCCGCTGAGTAGAGCCGTAGATCTATTCCAGAAACTGATGATAGCTCAGACGATCGAAAACTTCCCACTTATAATGCAACCCGAAAATTTCCTGACGAGGTCCTGCTCTCCCAAGGACCTATGGTCTTTTAAATTTTCGATTGAAACTCTGTTCTGTTATCAAACACGCTCAATACATGTAAGAAACACCACAAATTTCCTTTCATTTTATCTCACTGATTTGATAATAGTGTACGTAACAGGGAATGCAATTTATGAGACTCCTTCGTCCATATTTCGTCATGCAAAATGGCAAAGACGTTACTGACCGCTCGCAGTCGAGTAGTTAAAATTCCTGCTTCGTACTTAGGAAATTCCATATTCAAGTATCAGCCCTGAGACGAGCTATCCTGAGTGAGGATTTCGATGTTTTTCGTCAGTCCCTCCAAGAAAGTGCTGGGATATGACATGCGTTGTCACAAATCATTCCATCATTCAGAGAAAGGATTTGAGGTCTTGAAAGCGGGAAAAGAGAATTAAAGTTTGGCGATATTTCAAGTTCTCACGGCAGCGAGTATGAAGATGGTTACCTTCTAGGTTGTGAGGTCCTTACTGCCTCCAATATCAGTGGGATCGACCTGATGATGGAGGCAGTAAGTACCTTTAAAACATAAGATAGTGTAATTGCGTCATATTGTGAATATTATAACAATTATTTATTTTAATCCGTCTTATCACAATATTTAAAATTTCTTATAATTAAGATAATAAAATATCATTGATGTTCCATATCGATTGATTGATTCACGTTTTGGAACATTTACACATTTCCAAAATGTGAATCGATCAATCGATATGGAACATCAATGATATTTTATTATCTTAATTATAAGAAATTTTAAATATTGTGATAAGACGGATTAAAATAAATAATTGTTACCTTTAAAACGTCTGTAAATTTCTATCGGTCTACACGGCGCAACAACCCAGAAGATGAGTCACACAGAACAGGTATAATCATTCTCCTCAAGACGTTTACCTAACTCAGCCTCAGTGTACAGATACGTCTCGTCCTATGGCGAGAGGCTAAGATTTCAGCTCTTCATGTGCCGACAGACAATCTACCTTATCATGCGGCAACTCTGCCTTCTTTATTAATGATTTAATTTTCGTTGGGCGTGTGAGTTTATGACGGAAAGAAAGTTAAAATTCAACAAAAGCAGGGGATGGAACTGCTCAAAGTATTTTCTTCTCTGATACAGATTTAAATCAACGATACTAGAAATTAACAGCTTCGAGGCCTGTAATCTGATTCAAGGAACGACTGATTCAACCAATGTATCACGTAGACAGTCTCTTTGTGACCATTTATAAAAGCCCACAGCGTCACAACCCAGAACTTTCACCGCCTCAGAACTTCAAATGTCAAATAAACTTTTTTGTTGTTTTCTATGGCTTCTAAATTTCTCTATGCAGTTCTGTTAACCTCATCTCCCATTCCAATCCATTACGACTGCAAATGAATAGACCAGACTACAGTAAGCCCGCAGACAAGCACCGTGGCCTTACTTAAATTATTAATCAATTATAGTAACCTATAAAAAATATTTCATACGAGTTCCATCATGTTGTCCAGTTACGTGAATGAGATTTATCTCCACACTAATTTTCCATGTCCTCCGTCGGAAGCTGTGCGTATTGTTACAGTGAATTACAATGCTGTTTTCATTGGTACAGCGGACCATAGAATTAATTATAGACTCCACTAAAATGGAATGGCGTACAAGAAATTGTTGCTGGAGGCTTACAGACAGGATGACATGAACAAAGATCATTGCAATTATAAGGCAGTACATAGAGGACGTTTCATTGGTCGATTCAAAACACATAATTCACGGATCTTTCTTTTTAAGGACTAGGCCCCTTACCTGCTACAATTCAGAGTAAACTCTAAAATTATTAATCCTTATAAATTCTTCTACAAACACAGGACAGCACAAGACAGAACCTACCCGAGCGATTCCAACTCATAATACAATCAATGGAGTTTCTATTGTGCATAGATCAGCCACGATGTTGGATTTCATTGACTACCTACGCTTGTGAACAATAAATTTTCACTGTCAAATTTTAATTCATTTGAAGGAGAATACGTGGTTAAATTAAATGTGTTTGAAGTGTTACGCAGACAGACTGGAAAAGATATTTAAAATTCATCACATTTGTTACTCGGTAAATTTTATGACATTTAATTTTCCACAAATAAACAAAGGTGTGAGTGTGTCGATTGGATTAAACTGGCTCAGAATATGATCCAGTGACGGGCTTTTATGGAAGCTTTAATAAATCTTCGGACTAAATAAAAATACAGTCTACTGACCAACTTCTCAAGAAGAATCCAATCGTGACCAAGTGGTTAGAACTCATGCTTCATTTTAGATAGGTCTCAGGAATTCGGCTATCCTGAAAGAGTATTGTCGTGGTTTTCCTCAGGCCCTCTAGAAAATACCGGCATTATATCTCAAATTAGGCCACAGTCTCTTACTTCTACAAACTTAACGATGTCGTATTCTTTAAGTGTCCCAGTTAAAAGATACATTGACGTCGCAAAATATATCAAAAATGAATTAATTAATAGATAAAAGACTTAGCTTCACGAAACCAGTACATTTGTTTAATTTCAAATTTTGAGACTGGGGTGATTATAAAACTGATCACATAATGCATTTATCTTCTCCGTTTTCTTTGTTCAACGACTGTACCGTCAGCTGAAATTGTGTTGTAAACCTGGCTACTAATGTCATGCCAAATTTGGTTCGTATGTGTGGCCGAGCTGACAATGTAAACCGCAGTTCCAAGACCTGTCTTCTTCACGAAATGATATCGCACGTTATGTTCAGAGATGGGACTGTCTCAACTTGAAATTCTTATACATAGCATTTTTCCTATTTCACAGACATTATTTTAACAATTATTTATTTTAATCCGTCTTATCACAATATTTTAAAATTTCTTATAATTAAGATAATAAAATATCATTGATGTTCCATATCGATTGATCGATTTACATTTCGGAACATTTACACAACATGTTTCAGTTTTTATAAAACCATCATCAGGTGTAAAATATATCTAAGAACTTAAAACTCATGACGCAATTACAATATCTTAGACATTATTTTACAAATCGTGCCTTTTTCTGGATTTTAACTGTAAACTACTGCTGAAGTATTCCAGACGCTATGCATTCTAAATGTTCTTCGGGGACAGTTCTGCCACCCACGGATCCACTCAGAACTAATTCTCATCGTTTCGGTACGGAGTTGATCTACCCCATTATCAATATGCAATTCGCTTTTACCTAGCTGATAAGTGACCTCCCACATCACTCTTGGAACTCTCTACATGGTGCCCCAAAAAGTTGTATACACACAGCCACAAATACGTCAGAATTGCATCTTCCTCGTACATTCTGCGTATGGAAGATTGTAAAATAATGTCAGGGGACCGTCGAATTTAGAACTGCGAGAGATTTATCGATTTAATAAATTTGTCACATTGGACCACGGTCATATGACAATGATTCACATGAACAGTTGGGAAAACAGGGTTAATTCTTGTGGAAGTCTACGTAAATGAAAGAGGATTATAATAAATGCAAAATAACTATATAAATGCAAGGATATTCTCAAACTGGACGCGACTTTTGAGATATCCTACCCACTTAAAGATACGTCACGACGTCATATCAACGTTACGATGGCGCACAATTTAAACAACAGAATGGAAGGTGAGATCGCCTTGATGATGGAGGCAGAAAGAAATTGTGAAACGTTGGTAAACTTCTAACTGAAAGGAAAGTTAGAAGGAAGTCACTCGCCAGTTCAAAAGTTGCACATTGAATAATTCGCTTGAGGAAGAAAGTGTTTTTCCACGAGGTGTTAGAACTCCGCACTAAAGCATTTTTAAGCCCGTGAAATACGAGGTGCGATCGGAAAGTTTCCAGACTGTGTCAATAGAGGGCGAACCGGATGTAGTACGAGCTTCTGCCGCTAGGGGGTGCGGCCTACATTCATAGTGAATCAGTGTGCCAGCCGGCATCATCGAATTAGCATTTGTTTCTTAGTTACGGGCGTCTTGGTAGTGCATTACACCGACCCTCCTGCGATTTCGGAATGGCGCGTGTGCATCAAATTTTGCCAAAGACTCGCCAAAACGGCTACGGAAACCTATGAAATGCTAAAGCAAACATTTGGGGAGTCCGCAAACTTTTGTGTGGCATTCACGTTTTAAAAATGACCGAACCTCTG